AGCAGTGTTGAAAGCAACGGTCAATTTCTGGTTAGTAATAATGCTTGCCATAGTAACGTACATGTAATACACATTATGCTATAAATTTGAACAACGTCGACATAAAGTAAGAGTGTGATCTCTCGAGCACTTCGTATACGTACTACAACCGATGGTTGCTAACATATTATGCTCATAAAAATTCTTGCGTTATGGATTTCTTAAGAACAATTAGCCGCTCATCTTATAGTATGAAAAGAAAGAAACATATTTTTTTAGCAGTTAATTGATTTAAGAATTATGTGATTTTTAATTTTATAGTTCCTTAAAATTAATTTGCTCAAGTCTAATGCTGGTATCGAGATATGAGGGGCAGACAGCAATATTTTGCACTAAATATGCGGGCGACAGACTTGCAATCGCTAAACACAGGTTACTCGATACACGTTCAAATAAAATTCAGAATGGATCGGCTATATTTAACGCGACATGTGTGCGGTGAAGAAATATGGGTTAAGGCTTTTTTTAAAAAAGCGTGATTGCCTCGGCATTGAGTTAGCGAGACGGCTGTACCAGTGTTAAAATAGAAAAGCTTGTTCCATAATTGAACATCGAAATCTTGTTACTTTCAGATTTTGATCTCACTCAATTTTATTTTTTTCGTTTTACTTTGGTTTTTCCATCCTCCTCCACCCATCCACCCGTATATGTAGCGTACTTTTAATCGCCAAAAGTCGGAACGGTTATGTCCAGTTTCTATTGTAATGAAAAACACCATTTAAAATGCAACGACTCGGATTTTTTCGGAAACTCCGTTTGTCAACGATGACGCTTTTAGGAATTTGTTGGGAACTTTCAACGATATATTTTTAATTGCTGTATGAGAGTATTTTCATATTCAATTGTTTTTTTTTTACTCGTATACATTAAAACTATTAACGCGCATTTATGTCTTGTTTTACTTTGCATCAATTTTAAAGCGAGCAGCGCTTTTTACATCGCATGAATATCTTGTTTCATTTAGGTGGTGTGGAATTACTGCTGTAAAAATGCTAGCGATCTAGGTGTACACATATGCTCTTTTAACGTGGCGTGAAATTTCAACGAAATGTAAATGCATGAATCTTCTGGATGTATTTAATTGAATGTTAATTGACGGTTTGCTATTTACCGGACTGTTTGATTTAGGGAAGCCATATCATATTTATCAGATATGGGAATCGTCGATTTTTCGCAAATAATCACCAATATTTGTCATTCGTATTTGCCGAACGCGGTTTGGAAATGGTTTGCGACCAGTTTATAATCAAACGCGGTGGTTTGAAGAAGAAAAATTATACTAAAAATACATGTCCTCGGCAGAAATTTTACATTTTTTGTTTTCATAAAAAACGAATATATTTGATATTTTCATAGTGGATTGCATTTATTTTTGCATTAAAATAACTTTAATCATAATATTATTAATAATATTTTTTTCAAATATTACTAATAATTTTATTATTTATTTTAGATCAAGTATTAATTACACCATTTGCGAAAAATACTTTGCAAGATAGTTACTCGTTACTTATAATCTTAATGAGAATAAATTTTACTTTTATTTTAGAAAAAAATATAAGTTTTTTTATCGATTGAAGTTTTATATACAAATATCAATGTTATGTCCGATAAAATAAATTATGCGTTGCATAAATAATTGAGAGCTTTTGTTCATCCAGATCTGCGCATAATGTAATCCGTATATGGCATTCAAACGACACGTGACATTACCGTACGAACTAACTAATTAATGAATAAGTGGAGTTCTGTTGGCTGGGTAATAAATGTACGCACTGTAAAGCCGATAACGTCTGTCAGCTGGGCACTGCACGTTTATTTACGACATTCTGAAGCGTGCCAATAATGCGTTTTTATGTTGATTGCAAGCTATGACAATGCTAGTCATTATGTAGACAATATGAATTTTATCATCTATCGTAGAAAAGAGAAAACAATGAAATTGTATAATAATTATATCATACACATACATTTTGCCTTACTTTGATAAGTTAATAGTTAAAGTAAATTTCATTTGAGTCTGATTTTATATTGCGTCTCACAATGTTTATGTTATAAAAAGTAATATATAATGTTTCACAAAAAATCATTTTTTATTATAAATATAAAATTTCATTAAAATCCATATTATGATTTTATATAACGTACCTTTCGGCGTTTGGCAAGAATTAATATTCGGAATATAATATAGGATTAATTATTCGTATGACAAAAACTTTTACGAGTATTCTGACAGTGAAAATCAGAAGCTTCTTCGCTTTTGCATGTATGGCAAAGCGACTTTGTCGTAAAATGACCCGCTTCATTATTTCATGTCGCGACACACTTCGACCGGAAGCAATAATGTTCATTTCTATGCAATAAAGTTATTACGGATCGTGTCGTAGTCCAATGAAACGATTTCCTCAATAATACGTTGAAATCTAACGGTGACGATTTATATCCCTTCGTTCTGCAAAGTTTCGCGCTTTGAGCGACAGAATTGAAGCGACGATGATTTTCATGAATAATCGACAAATTGTCAATGTTATGAATATATCGGGAGCTGATACTCGGACGCGAAAGCAGAGAATGTTTCGAACGCAATAAAACATGAGCACGGAACGATAAAACATGGAATATCGGTATCCACGGACGTATCTTTATAGTATTTTTTTCTAGTATCTAGAAAATATCTTTTTAGTGTAAAATTTCGTTAAATTTTACATCCAAAGATTTCAATGGATTTGATATTTCGTTTTGATATTTGAGAGAAACTGCTTAGAAATTATTATTATTATAATAAATTGTGGTGCACGTGGTGCATGTAGCTTTGAGTTTAAATTAGTAATTTTATTGAAATAAAAACTATAAAGTGTGCTATCTTCGACAGCGCGACTCTCTTTCTTGTAACAAAGGCGTTGATTAATGTAAAATACGAAGGCCATAGTCGCGTTTTTATCCCAGTTGTAGATCGCGACGCATGTTAAGTAACCGTACCGTTACGGAATCAAATTATGCCATAACGTGTGCCGGACATTTATTACTTATTTTACTTTTGCGACTGCAGCTCATTAATATTCCACGCGTCGTTTGCCGAACAGATGCCGGGAAACACGACGATGGGTAGCACGCTACTCGACGAGGAACTTCGTCGAATTCTGCTGGAACGTGAGCAAGAATGCATGAGGAGGAAAGCCGCGAATACGACGCTGCCGCCGGGTAAAGTATTTTTCATGTTTGAAAATAAGCGAAATCGACCAAGCGGAAGCAAAAACGGCGAGTAAAATTGCGCAAGAGAGCGCAACGCAACGCGCCTTTGTTGTATGCAACGTGACGTATCGTGAATCTTTTATCAGGCCCATTTGCTTCATCTTGGTACTCGACCAATTAATAGCGATTGTACATTAATATATCGGATTACTCGTCTAGATCAGACCGTTTCGTTCGTATGCAGTCCGCTGACGGAAATGGTAGGAAAAAATGTAGCGTTATGCACGCGTATGCACACGAATGCACATATACGCATACGCGTATATAAACAGTAATTAATCAAATATTTTATTAAAATATTATATATATATAATATTCAATAATAACGTTAGAAAAGCGTCGTACAAAGTTCTCGTTTTCATATATAATCTTGTAGAATCTATGAGAAGAGAAGATATAATAATCTTCAAGATTGCTAATTTATCAAGAGAAGGAAATAATACTTGCACAACTTCTTTACTTGTTCTTCTTCGACTTGATTGCCGCATTGTCTTTCTTTGCGCAAGCGCGCGATCCGAACAAGAGCTTCTTCAATTTCCAAAGGATAAATAGCACGACGTAGAGCACTGTAATAGTCACTACAAGTATCAACGCGTAAATGTCCAATAAGTTTTGTTGCCACCAATAAAGCCTCATTGCTGGCGATTGAAGTATGTTTCCATATTTCGCGACATACTCTACCCAAAATACCGACGTATTCACGGCACTCGTTGGTCGATCGAGGAACAACTTCGATAGTTTTTGTATATTTTTCCTGAAATGAGTAAGAGAAACATTTTCCAGCGATCGATACAGCAGTGATGTTTACAGACAAAATCAATTATGGTAAAACTCGGAAGCTTGTAACGAATAGTGTTTTTTCGTAACGTCACGTTTTCGTTCGGTGTCGGACCGCAAAATTTTTGATTTTTTTTTTAATTGTAAAAGTGCACGACCTATTTCGTACAGATTTTTACTTTTTTTTTTTTTTTTTTTAATCCGTTCTGTGCAGTTGAAGCGTTTGCCTTTATTCGTGAACCTTTACGCATAAAACACATGTAGATTCGTACAGAGGAAATGGACGTGGAATTTAAAGTACATACCGATTGATTAGAATTGACCCACGATATGCATTGGAGAGTAAAGCAAGATTTGATTACAATGGAGAGCACACGCTCTGTTTATTCCGCGATATGAACGGTATAACCAGTCGCGGATCGATAAATGGACTAATAAGGTCAAAAACAATGAATCTCGATATTTAAAATTCTAATATGTCTTTATCAGCTGCATATTGTTATCATGTTAATGTTAAGTAAAGTCACGGTCCTTTAGTTAAGCAAAGTTTTGTTTTTATCAAAATCAAAATTTATTTCTTTAAAAATAAAAAATAAAAATAAATATAATATAAACATACAAAACTAAAAATAAGATAAAAAGATTCGATAATAAAAATAAATGATATAATTATAACATTATCGTTACATTAAGAAATAAGGTCTCGAGTAAATTTAAAAGAAGTACATCTTGTATTTGTAGTCTTCCCTCTTTCAATATTATGATTTCATTAAACCCAGTTGAACAATTAGTGTACAATGCTTAGGCTTACCAATGTCTGTAGTCTTGGAGTACTTACCGATAGGAGGGATCCTTCAGGATGTTATTTATCGCCGAAGTTAATGTCTCCTCGGTAACTTCGGTTACTGAATTAAGCGAAATAGCCACCTTTTTGTTGACGTAATTTTTAATGTTGACGCGTTGATCCCCAAATAGGGGGATGCCAATCATAGGAACTGCACAATAGATCGCCTCTTGCGTTCCAAACATCCCGCCGTGCGTAATAAAAGCTCGTATATTTTTATGTTCTGTGAAAATCATAGCGATACATTTTTATTGCGAGAATATTACGATTGGGAATTGAACAAGTGCACAGTGCGCGAAACTGACATATAGACGATGTAAAAGACAGAATATCTTTTCAAAAAGTCGGTCACACATATGCAAATTCCATTTTTATTTATTTTAATATCTTACGAACTTGATTTGACTATGTGCGATATTCTCGATCAAAACTAAAATTTCTTTTCCGAGCACGATAAGAATATATGTCTTTCTTCTAAGAATAATACTTTCGATTTAATATGAATGGCCAAATTTCAATTTGTTTATTTAGCAAACTTTCTTTGAGGCTTCTTGAGTACACTATAAATCAGTAAAAAAATTAGAAAAATTTTTATCGAAGAAATTTTTTCGAAGAATACGATTGGAAAACGATATTTTTTTTTGTTGTTGGATTACGCAATTTATATATGCAAATGTTGCTGCGATATTTAAAGTGTGAATTTTATCAAGCAAGTAATGATTCTAAGAATTATTATGAAGAAACGAGTAAGCAGTTATTTTGATGCTCTGTTGTGTTACTAACTGGCAGTAATTACGTACTAAGAACGGAGATCTGTGGAAACCACGATTGCGTCATGACGTTCTTCGGTAATCCTGGCAACAGATCCTCTTTTTTCGCTACCTTCATTAGTACGCGGACTGGCGCGATCTTCTCAAAAGATGCGTAAAATTGTTGAACTATTTCTTTGGGGAAAGTTTCAATCCTCACCATCGACCCAAATGTAAAGTAGATACAGCCATCTTTGCTTTCGTCCAACCACTTTTGCACTTCCTATATACATATAGTTTTTTAAAGCAAATACTTTGCAATGTAAGTAATTCTTCTTGGATACACGAGAGTATTATACGGTATATTTTTAAATGCATGAAATTTTAAAACAAGCGTGTTTTAAAAATATTGTTTGCAAAATAATGAGATATATTTGAAGACTAAATACTTCATTAAATTACTAAATGTATCCTGAAAAAATCATACTTCTATATTGGTCACCAGTCTTATATTTATGTATTTACTGATGGCAATAAAATTAAAAAAATTGTTAACAATTTTTCATGAAAATTTTACAACATGTGAATAACATAATAACAATTTTATAACAATGTGAATAGTCCAATTTCAATTTTGTTATCAGTTGTCAGTCATAATGTGTATATTAGAAAAATGAATATTACAAGATTTAATAAACATATATTTTACTTTTAATATGTTTTATCTTTATAGAATATAATACGTTAATTTTCTAATTTCTTATCAGTTTTTCTTATCAGATATTTTATTCACTTAAACAATAATTTTCATTATATGTTTTGCAAAATAGCTTATTTTAAGCTTATTTTAACTGTAGCTTATTTTAACTGTAATTTATTTTCTCATTTTTCATTTTCATTCGATTTTGAACGAAGGGAGAAAATAAACAGAGCTATATTTACGATAAAAATATTGTCTTGACCTTAGTCACGTCTCGTATCCTGTATCCAGGAAGAATCGATTGACGAATATAATGCGAATAATGCGAATGGGAAAGGCGAGTCTTGTTGAAACGTACCGGTGACAGTGGATCATCGTCGTCGCTAAGATGCAAACCGCCGACCTCGATCACATTGGTGGTCATTGCTCTGATTCCATTCAACGTGTGATGAGAGTTGACCAGATACAAGGATATGTCGGAATATAAATCCTTGATATGCGGCACGTCTATGCCGAAGTGTTCCTTCACATACTTTAATTGGATATTCGTGTAATAATGCATTTGCCAAGAGAGATAATGCGACAATAAAAAGTTTGTCAGACGTTCCTTGAAATTCATGTGTTGGTTGTGCATTGAGAACATGCTCGGGACGTAAGCAGTACCCATCGGATTAGCGGACACCTCGTTCAGCCAGTCGTGAAAAACGCTGGCCACCGTGCCGACCATGGGGACTTTGAGATGGCGGGCAAATGCGAGGTAGCACGGTGCGGCGAACAGCTGCGCATATCGTCAGTCGATCGATTAATCGTTTCGCGTTTGATAAGTCACATCTTGTAATCACGCGTGTGACATTGAATGCGGGTCAAGCCCGTTCCGCACACTTGTTCCGCGGCGCGAAGATATGCGGTTGTATAGATCACGATCATTTAGCAAAGCGCTCGCGTCAAGCTACGGGGCCTTGACCTTGACGTTGCCTCGTGTGGAAACACGAGGAACAATAATTATCATTGCACGCACCGCTGTACGATAAGAAAAGATAGATGCGATGATCAATAACAGATAACAAAGAGCAAACACGTAATATCGAGTGTGACTATGTATTTTTTGCGAAATTTTTTTCTGGAATATAATGTTTTTTCAAGGCTTAACAAGTTCACTGTTTAATTATACGTTAAGATCGATTATACTTTTTGAGAATAATTTGATACGATGATGTCACACGGATGCCACAACAGCTCTTATGCAATATTTCTTTCTTTTTTGTTATAATGTTATATTTACATCTCTCGCGAAATTTGAAATTAAAATCTTCATGTTACGATGTAGTTTTTGTTTTTCCATCATTTATTCACCATTTTGCACTCAATCAATTCGGAAACAAGTAAAAGCTCGTTAGAATCTCTAAACATTGTGATACTCATTGAATGAGGCAAATTGAATAATGCAACAAGTATCATACAACTCATATCGAGATTCAAACGTTCCCGCTTTATTATATTGAGTGTGGCAATTTCACGTATCATTACATCTGTTCGTTATAGTTGCACTTTCTGCTTTGTTTCGTTCCTCATTCTCCCTCCACAAAGCGTGGATGTACAACTGTTCCATTTTAAATGCGGGAAGCGCAAGATGCAATTAGAACGGATAAATTTTCTTACAAGGGCTATATTATTTTCGTTATCGTAATTTCTAATTTGATTTATCACATTAATACTCATAGATCTGAAATCTATAATTAAGTTAAATGAAATGATAATGCAAATTAATTAATTAAAATTTCTGATTTAATGCATTGAACCAAGATGAAATTCAATTTAATTAACCGATTCTAATAAATTATGTATGTCTTTCTGTGCTATATTTGTTATTTTATTGATATGTGAATATGATGCAACATTTGTGTGTAAATATTCATATTTGCGATCATGTCACGAATCATATTTTAATGTCTTCCGTTCTGGTGTCATAATATTTAAAATTTGATTTAAGATACAATCAAGTATTACGCAAAAGTGTCATAAAGAATTCAATTAAGTTAATTAGCGACCTGTCGAGCTGTTGAAGAATTGTTAATGCGCGAAAAAAATTTCGAAAGATGCATAGTCATGAACTGGATTCTAATAATCCGAGTTGCCTTGCAAAATCGGCAATTTTGACGTTTCCGATATTTCGATATTCAGGCATTGTAAGAGAACACTTGAATTAATAACTTTATGATCCTCGAAATTATCATTATTATTATTGAGATAATAGAGCGAGATTCTCTGATCAAAAGTTGTTTTCCCGTACTAAAGCGCTGTAACTTTAATAAAATCAGGCATAGCGTTTGTGCATAATAAATATTTAATAATTAGTGAATAATTAATGATTTGCCACCGTTACAGGTTGTAGCACAAATCAGTTAATTAACATCTCGTTAAAAGCGGTAATAATTTTCGTTTAATGAAGTAATATTTGCTTTTAAATCCAACCGCGTTTTATTTAACTTTATTAATTATCTTTGTATATCATGTATTGAAAATCGAGTCTTATTTTCTTATATGATTTGCATGCAATTTAAGTTTTATTAATTATTTTAGTGCACTTTATATGTTATTTTATCTCATTTCTATATTTAAGAACGGTAGTACAAAAAGATATCAGCATAAACAAATCAGAGACATTATTTAAGATGATTTTAAGAAGTAAGAACGCACTATAAATACCAGTTATAACTTAAATAAAGTTACCTTTTCGCTTGACATAGCGATTCGTTTCTAACTCTTTTTGGGAACTTCCATAGTTAGATATAATCATATAGAATTAATGTAAAAAGCACAATTTATTAATTATGATATATATTGAGGTATATGTTTATAAATATGTTTATAAATATATATTTATAATATACTTTTCTCTTTCTTCCTCTTTTACGATATATATATATATATATATATATATATATACTATAATAAT